CCTTAGTTTTCCTCTCGATGAAAACTCACTCGCGAGTTTAAACTTCCATCTTCCATGCACGCGCAAGCGAGTGAAAAGCAAATAACCAAACGTGGCTCTTTATCTCCTTGTAAGGACAAAGTAAGGCTCCAATCACCGTGTAATTATGTAAATAAGAAATCAATGTAAATTTAAACTAAATAAGAAAAGTTAATAAGAATTAACGCGAATGTTCACAAAACATTTATTAAATGTAGTAAATTTCATAAGTACACAAACGTTTCGACCGCAATTTGTATTTTTCTCAGTGCATCAAATAAAATTGCAAAAATAAAAGTACATGAAATTAAATTAAAATGTAAATCAGATGTAGAAATCACTTGAATGTTAAAATGCACGAGTGATTTTTGAACGCTTCCTTATTCTAAAAAGGACATTACGATAAGAACACAATTTATATGAAAAATAGAATACCGACGAATAGACCAATAGAAGGGACAAAGCTTGACTGAAAGCACGAATATCCGAGAGCTTCCTGAACTGATTTCTATTTTGTCACTCGGCCAATCGCTCGGCTCGGTATCGCTAGAAATAAATAACACCGAATACATCATCCCCCGGATTGCCGTCATACTAGCCGCTTGTTCTCGTCGCAAATAGAACCCTCGGGAATTACGCCGCGGAGATCGGTGGCCTGGGATGGGTAGACGCGGTAATACTGGTTATCATCGCGCTGATTGCACCTATATCTCCCCTTTCCCTGCGCAGCACTCGCTACATTCATCGAGCTATCCTTCCATTGGTACCTGCACCTGACCCAGTACATTTCCACCCGAGCTATTCATTATGGGTCTACAACGTTCGTTCCTTTCACGATACATCGATGTACGAAAATTGGCGAGCGGCACGGTAGGGGTTATGCATTCATACTTGCAGACACGTCATGAATCCTCCTACCCGTCGCGGAAGGGCTCTAAAACCATGCCGTGCCGAGATTACGACGCTTTGGCAGTGAATGTACAAGTGATACACGCTCGATGACCCGGCAATTTTCAAGGAAGAGGAAGTTTTACAACAAAGATTCGGCGCGTAATTTAACCGAATGGGCCGTTTTACAAATTAACTCTTCCGAACTTCTAGCTGGTCGTTACACTTTCCGTTGTAAGCGGTGCAAATTATTTTAATTGCACGCGCGAGGTCTATTTTCTTCTCTCTGGGAGAGAGATAAAAGCTACGGTTGGAGTCGCGAAGGTAACTTGTGGAAGACCGACGAGATCGTCAAGACCGAAAATTATTCAGGGAGACCGACCGTAAAACAATGATGATTAATTCTTGCTACGTAATATTCAACGGGGCAAGAAATTAGTATCACGCCCAATACACGCTTAAGAAACCAAGTGAAATGTCCCACGGCCGGTTGTACGAGCCTCCGTTATTTACACAACCGTAAACAACCGCCGTTGCACATCTACAGGCACGCACGTGTACTCGCGGCAAAGGTAACGAATGGCAGAAGGCAAAGCAGCTACACCTCTCGAAACGCGTTCTCCGGCCTCTCTCTACGGTACCGTGCACACGTACGTGTTTACGTTACGAACGCGCTATGCCAGGCGGAACTAACGATAACGAACGGTTACGAACGTAAGAGACCGGTTCCTGTAGCAAACGACATTTCTACCGAGCGTTGCACGGCGGTGCGTATGGTAAAAGGAAGCAAACTATTTGCAAGATTCCGAAGGAGAGAGTGAGTAGAGCTCGTGGCGTTGATGATAAATAGGTAGATAGATAGATAGACGAGTTGATTTATACTTGGAATATGTGCTCTGCACCTCACAGCACGTAAGTACACAAAGGAAAAGAAATAATTAAAATTGTAATGCAATTATAATGTACTTGTGATGCGAATAACAATTAACTTTTAATTTGGCAAGACAGATGTGCCTCACAAAAGCTCAGAGAGCATCACTTTTTTGTGATCATTTATTTTCCAAATGTTTTATGCATGTTAAGCATTAAATTCTTTGACAAACTTTATCAAGTAAATTAATTTTTTTGTTTTCCGATATGGAAATTTGCATTTTATTTGAAAATTGTATGAATAATAATTGAAATAACATTGAGAAAAAGATTTTAAAAAATTAATTATTATTTTTAAAATAATTTAATTTAAAAAAATTAAATTATTTAAAAAATTTGTGAGATATATAATTATTTCGCTGAAATAAATCTTTATTTAAATACGGCGAAATAAAATTATGTTCCTAGCAAATAAATCATACCTATTTTATTTTTTTACAATTTTTTTTACAATGAGATATATTTCACAGAAATATATATTCCGTCATCACACAGTCAAATTTTTTTGTAATCAAAATAAATATCGAAGAAAATATCACATGTAATATTTACTTACGAATATTTCCACTTTTTTTCTTACAAGGGACTTGTTACAACTATATTCAGAACCGATTCAATTCTTCTTGAAATATGTTGTTAAACCCAAAATCTAAGAGATACGTATTTTTTTATATCAGTCCAATTTAAAATTTAAAGGATGAAAGTAATTTTATTTTATAATTTAAGGGCTGGAGTGTATTTTGAAAAATATTAGATTTTATAAAAATCTAAATACACAGTTACATATAAAAATTTTGCCTAAAACATTTCTCTATATATCTGGCCAATTGATAATTAATTGAAATTAAATAAGCGTCAGCTTTAAGAGTTTATTTTATACCTTGAACCTCAAATTGGGCCGACATAAAAAATACATATGTATAGAATTTTATAATTAACAATATATTTAAAGCTTGATTAAGTTAACTAATTATTTGATTAAACTAACGTTTTCTGTCCGATTAAAGATTAAAGAAATAAGACATTTCAAGAATCTTGTTAATTATATAACTGATGTATACGATCGATATGATATGACATGGAATACAAAGAACTGACGTGGAATACGAATGTGAAATAGGGGAAAGCAAGAGGGAGAAACGGGGAATTTGCACGAAAGAGAAAAGTTTCCCAATATTTCGCGAGAAATGCTCACGCTCGAGAGCGGTAGATAATCTCGACGATCATCTCGGTACGACAGCTTGAAAGTTCCGGCCGTTTCGGGAGAACGTAGTGCGTACTCTGCTGGTTTATAGCAGCCCTGTGGTCGTCGGGTTCCGAGTGGTCAGAGGATGGTACCCGTTGGTGCAGCGACGTTATCCATTTGCATCGTAACTAGTCGCGGTAGCAGCAGCAGCAGCACCAGCGGGTACGACGGTCGCTGTTGACGGCGTTATGTTGTTGCTGCTGCTGTTGCTGTTGCTGCTGCGACCGCCCCGACGTTGCACCGAGTCCAAAACCGGTGACTGCATCTGCATCGTGCCGAAGGGGGTGACGGGAGGGCGACCTAGTAAATTACACGTTGACTAGGGCTGACAACCGCAATGCGTGGCACACACGGACCTCCTGCGCGAGACGCCGGTGTGTTTATGCGGCCGGTGAGTCCGAGCCACTGTCAGGACGGCCTAGCATTGCGCTCTCTCTCTCTCTCTCTCTCTTGTGAATTATAGACGAGTCGACCTTAATAAAGACGCGGTGGATGCCCGAAATTCTCGCCCGGCGTTCCATCGGCCGAGTCGAGAACGCCGCGGTTCCGCCGAATTGCGAACTGACGCTGCTGCTGTGTGACATATCACGTCGGTGACTCGTTTATGTTATGCTCCGTCCATAGCTCGTTCCAAATCGTACTACTCGACGAACCGCCGAGGAATTGTATTTTCTTTTATGGAGTAATAGAATTATTTAAAACTGTCGGGAAGTTCTTGTCAAAAATAAATTGGTCGAAAGAACATAAGTTTCAAAATATTTCACGACTAAATTCTGCTGCCTACAGTAACATAATAATGTAATACCTAAGAACCATGGTCTCGGAAAACTAGAATATCGCGGATATTGCCAATTTATTATCATTTCTCTTTGGGGATCGAAGAGATATTACGTAAATGCGTGTCTATCGTTCCGGGAGTAATAAAAAAAAAAGAATAACAGCTAGAGTCTTCAATAGGCGGGTTCCATGATGTATCGTCGACGGCGAGCACTGAAGTATCGCTAGTCTGGGCCGTTCGGGCCCTGTACGCGCGAGTATCAGTGCCAAACACCGGTAGTTATGTATATCAGGGGCAGTAAAACTGATGCAAATTTATTTCAAAATTTCGAGCCATTCTCGTAAAGTCGTTTTAAAACTATCCTCGTAAAACGATTTGCGACATCCGTCCTCCGCGCCACGGACATACCGAACTCACGGTGATTTTACCATGGAGGAACTACCGTTCCTTAAGTAATTCTACATCCTGCCCTTAAGGTAACAATCATAATCGCGTACTCGACTGTACCGCGGAAAATGTACTTTATCGAACGACTAGCTTCACCCGGCATACACAACGTTATTTTAACATAATTGTAACTGATTGATATTCATACGTGATATAAAGATAAACACGGACCGATATGTTTAAGAAGAGAAAGACACGTACTTTGACACAGACATAGCTTAAGAGAGCAATAATCTCTCACGTTCTCATTTTATCAATGATTAACGACTTTTCATTATGTACGTACTGATGTAATCGCTATGAAAAAAATTGATTTGACCTGATAATAATAATCGCAGGGTTGGCCAAAGCTATTCCGGAAAGAAGAGTGTGCTCTTGCTCCATGAGGTGAGATAGGCCGAACAAGCATGCCGGAGGGGAACGAAAATTTAAGAGCGGCCGTATATTATCGCGACGAAGGGGTTGTCTGAGGTTAACTGCCAGAGCTTCGTAAGAAGGAGGATCGGGTGGTGTCGGGAGGGTGCGCCATGAATATGCCGCCATTAGTCACACGCCGAACCACGCCGTAGAAAGAGAAGTAGGTGACACGAATTTCTCGGAATCGCGCGCGCCCTATTGGTATCCCGGGGGGTAGTAACGCGAACAATTCCCCGTGAATGCGCATTTATTCCGAATCCGGCACTACTGCAGAATCAGTGGTGGCACATCTAAAAGCCCGGTAAAACTTCGTCGACAAGAAATTCGTCGTTTCCCCTTTCCTCCTGCTTTGCTGTGAACTCGACGGTCCCCGTTACTGACGGCGTCAAGCCACCCTGTCGAAACATTCGGGGCTCGCGGCGGCGCTCGTGTCACCGACAGACCTCATCGTTACATCTCAAAAGGCAGCAATGAAACGGTTAACTAAATTGCTACACGCTCCGGCTGTCATTCGCAGAACTCGCTGCCACTCCGTCCTTCTATTCGGCCATGCGCGGATATGCGAACGATCCGTCGCTTTAGTTACAAATCTATTTCTGAATGTGAAACTTGATGTGGAAGAAAGAGTGCGATGGAATTTTGTCAAGACGCATTATATTATGCGCGAGTTTATTTGGAAAAGTTTTCGTTAACGCTCATCATTTCATTCATCCGACAATTTCAATGGCAAATGAAACAGGAACATTTTAAAGGCATTTTAAATGAGGTAATGAAAGGCATAAAGTGTCTTGGCAAGTTATATTTGATGCCAAAAATGTCTGGTGTCTGGTGTTGCTGTCCTCACGCCAGACGGCTCGCAATTTGTACCGCGAATGATATCGTCGACTTTTCCTCTAATTATTCGAAAGTTTATCTCCGTCGGCTTGAGACTCATGTTTATCGTCTTCTGAAGTCTGTTGGTATTGAACCATAATTCTTCCTCGCCGGCCCTATTCGTGATCACCTTAATGCCGCTCACGTACTGCAGAGTCTCCTCGTCTTGTGCTATTATCACGACGTTCTCCGGAGTAAATGGTTTCCCGATGTCCCAACAGGCAATGGCAGTTAATTGGACCAATTGGAAAAATATTACGCCTCTTCGAGAGGTCGCCTGCACGCCCGCTTGGCTCGCGCGCTTGTAATTTGATTGAAATATCACTGGCTCTCTGAATTTGCTTTGCTTCAACGAAAACGTATCCGTATATTTCTGATAGTAGCTCGCGAGTGAGTTAAAATACAGATATCTGAAAGTGGTAAACATCGTGACACATGGCAAACGACTTTTTCTCAATTAGCATACTTGTAGCTAAAGCTTCGTCGTATTTACTACAGACATTTTCGCATTTTTTCTCAACTATGAGAAAATAATAGCCAGATAAATAGAAAAAACATTTAAATAGTCAAATTGATTTCTATATCTTATTACTTATTTATACGTTAACACTAGAAGGACCGAGATAGCCAATTTAACTCCTCGCGAACTAATACTTCTCAAACTAATATAACTTTTTTATAATATAATAAATAACTGCTTTTTGTAATAAAATAAATTAATAAAATTAGTGATACTATTGTTAAAATGTTTATTATAAAATTATCTGTACGCTTCATTTCTTTCCATTTGTTGTTTACGAAGGAAATATGCTTGGAGACAAATTGGTTTTTACGGTCCTTTTAGGAGAATCGTCAAATCCGGTCCTTCTAGTGTTAAGCAAGAACACGAAATTTTTTAATTCAACTTGTTGAGCTTTTATATAGTTCCAAAAACTAACATCAGATAAATTTAAATTTCGATCGAATCTCATGTGTTCCTTGATTTATAAATTAACTGATTCAGAATAATAATAATTAATTAATACCTGTGATTAAAATATCCTAACGGTGACAGTGACATACCGAGCGTACCATCAGTCAGATCAAACCACTCGCCGGCGATCGTAATATTCATAGCATCCTCATCCGGGCCAAAAGCGTTGCCACGGGTGTTGTTTACTCGCCAGGAATGGTCGCGATATAAGTCATAAATCACTAGTCCATTTTGATCCACGTCCGCCACATAGAGATAAGTATCAAGACACGTTTTTCCGACGTCAACGATTGGCGTAACTAATCCTGCCTTCCCGTATAGCACTTGATCATCCGGTACCACGTATTTATGGATCAGCTGATCCGTGGCAAGATCGAAGATCAATATTTTCGTAGGGCAAACCGCTTTCATCATTACTCTGCCAGAATCGATCACCCATAAACGATTGCACTCGTCGATCTAAAGATTACGTACCAAGCTATCAATCCTACACGTATTGTTATAAAATTTGACACCAAATTGATAGCGGAAAAGTTTTGAATGGACGAAATGATGTATATGAATGTCGCGTATTCAAAATTTTTCTGCCAACAATTTGGATTCAATCTATTATCAATTACCGCCATTCTGTAGACAGATACGATGCTGTCGCAACTTAACGATATGTGCCAGGACCAATTGGGATACGGTATAAGTAAATGACCACCAGGACCCTGCGCCTTAGTCACCAAAGACAAACTAATTGGTATACCATTTAACCACTGTGGACTCGTCACAAACACACGGCCTTGTCTGTCGATATCCACATCTTGTGTGAAGGCATTGCCCAGCGTATAGTTTTTTCCCGTCAGAAGTATATTTGGCCAAACCCAATCGAGATATTTCCACTGGTAAGCCACTTCGAGGTGTGACGGCTGGGACGGGTATACGAACCCGAAGAATAGAACGAGTATCCAAATCAATTCCATGATGCGTATGGTCGAAAGCCCATCGACGACGATCTAGGTCGCGACACTGATCGACTGACCGTTAATTCGTTTCGACGCGTTTTTAGCTATCAGGGAGCCTTTCGAACCTCAGGGTCTCGCCCGTGTCCACGATCGGGAGACCACTGTATCACGAAACGGAACATGGTTATTCCCTGTGGTGGCGTAGATTGTTTCTTTCAATAGCGACTGACACACCCCACCCTTGTTTACGTCACGATCCCCCATACCGTGCCGATTTCGCTATTTATGGTGACGGAGAGTGTGGTTCACCTTGAACTGGATATACACATATCCCAGGTCCAACATGTAACATGACTCGTTGACTAATCAGGAAGCAAGAAGAACCTCGAGCAGAATTTATTTCTTTCTGCTACTACTATATAACCATATATAAGTAACGCATGACATCTCTTTCAGAAAACGAAATCAGTCTTCTTATATACGCAATAAACAATTTATACAACAGATAAAAACAATGTCTTATTTACGATATTTTATTTAAGAATGTTAAATTCTTCGATTTGAAAAATCTGTAAATTTTTTAATTCTTAATGTTCGTATATATGTCATATGAATAATTATTTTAACTACATAATCTAATGGAAATTAATGTAAAATTACGTAGTCACGAACGTGAATAATACGCAATTTAAAAAATATATTGCTACAATATGGTCGATATTTAAAGCTCGTTTAAAAAAAATGTAGAAATTTATGGTTGCGGCAATGAAACTGAAGAGACAATAAATACTTCCATTAAGCATCGGCATTTCCAATGCATAATATTGACAGACTGAGGTTAGACCGCACAATTTTATGAGCGCATGAGATTTACTGTACACGTTATCTATTTAAACCTGTTCTGTATACTGATTGTTACGCAAATCGGTGATATCTAGTTCTGCACATCAATATGAAATACAGAATGTGGTTGAGCGCACACATTAGCCACCGCGTGATCGGAAACTAGAGCAAGTGTTCACAAACAGTGCACGTCTACCTGATATAGAACCAGGAACCTTTGTTGCATTTCCTCGAACGCGTTGCGAAAGCTATTACGAGCGTGTCTATGTAACGAGATTTTCTGTAAATTTCATATCCGAAGTTTATGTGTGCTTCGAGAGACAATACATTGAAACTTTCACGTCATAAATGTTGTTTGTTTCATAACTAACATGTCAGTTTGTATTCACTATATGTGATGTAAATATTATTTTTTACTATCAGTTAATCGTTTACGTAATTCAGTACATCCTTGCTTACTTGAATATGCACACATACTTAATACTTAAAGTGCATTAGTCACCGTTGCTATTATCAAGTTATCATGTTACGCCTCAAGAAGCAGGTCTTCTTGAATATTCATAAAGATCATATAAAATCACGGTATTATGATTCCGCATACCAGTTATACGCAGTATCTAGCTCTTTGTTAAGTTTATAACAGTTAATGTCAATTAAAACGCAATAACCTGGTTATGAAGGTGTTATAAACAGCGGCCAGTGTCACGGCATGAGGTGATATAATGCGATGGCATTATATCATGGGACGACCACGCGTGTTTAGAATGTAATAAGGAGTTCCGCGAGAGTTGAGCAAAACTATTTTCCAGCTGTTATAGCGTGATCACGCAACACAGCTATAAGCAGCACGCTTTTCATCGCGCTCCGCACCCAAACTTCTTTTTTCCTCCGTCGGCTTTCGGGTTTGAATTGCATTACGCGTTGCGCCGTATCCGGGAAGAGAAACTACATTCGCGCCCCGCAGAAGTGAAAACCATAAATCACCTGGCTAGTCACGATTAAGCCAAACGGGAAGACAAATGGGTGGCTAATTTCAATTTTAATGCGGAGCCCAGAAGGTATCTGTTCCGTCGTGAGTTATAGCCCCACTCTTCGGGCGTGAACCGCTTTAGGGCTTATTAATAAGGAATAGTTTATCGTTTTGATTAATCACGGCCACGCGCGCTCCCAACGATGATACCGTCGAATTGCGGTGCCGTGGCTGCGGTACATTTGCCGGATTTCCGATTGGACGCACCAGTTGAAGCGCGAATACTAGTAAAACTTGTGCACATGAAATCGAATGAAATTGCTTCGAGCATGAAAGCGAGAGGGGAAACGAGAAAGTGCAAGAGAACGGGCAGCGCGAACGCTCGCGCTCTCTCTCTCTCTCTCTCTCTCTCTCTCTCTCTCTCTCCGATTGCAGGAAGGCAAATCTATTCGAGCGAATTAGATAGCCTAATAGCAATATCTTGGAATAAAAAGCGAGTGTTTTTTTTCTCAGCGTCGGTAATAACGTTCTACTTCGTTCTGCTCGAGGAATGGGAGCAACGTCATTAAGGTTGTGCATTATGTGGGACTTAAGTGGAATCTAAAATGTTACGCGCGAATATGTGAGAAGCTCGTTAACGAATTCCAAGCGAAATGAATATTTAAAACAGAGACGTAAAGGATAATTTGTAGGCGAAGACATATCAGCGTGGAGAATAAGACGAGCGACGTTCAGAGATTCAGTTTTCATCAAGTCCGAATCGATGAGGAAGGAACAACAACATGTAACGATTATGATAGCATTCGTTATACCTGACGGCTGGAACTTCCAAACTTCCATTCTACCAGAAGCTCGCGTCGTGCGATTTTATATCGGCGAGGTAGGAGAGAAAGTCCCGCAAGATGCGTCTCTCTTTCTACGGCTGAAACAGTTCTTCTTCTTCTTAAACTGAGTTTGGTAAACCCTCGTACAAGTCGAAGTTCTGACCGTGCGGATGGCGTCGAAGGGACGTAAGGGAAGAGGCGCCGTAAAAGTTGGACGAAGTCAATTTTGCAGTTGAAGTTGGTAATGCGATTTGTGCCGGAATAAATAGTTTGAGAGGAGAGCACACAGTACGCGCAGAGGTCCCTCTATCTCGTCCCCCTTTCTGTCGCTTCTACGTCTGTCGCGGTTGTCTCTCTAGCGGCTAACCCATCGACCAATCCACTCGAGTTTGATGTCATGAGCACGTCTGTTGGATCTACTGGACATTCTTATTAGAGAAAATTCTGCTTATAGCAATAACGACTTAATGAAAAGTCGATGCTGAAATCGTGAGAACTCGATCGAATTCGTACAGAAACAACGATTTTGCTGAAAAATTTAAAATTTTGTTGCATATAGATTTAAAAATAATTTTGTTGGACAATTAAAATTAAAAATAAAATTGAACTGATGAGCAATGCTGCAAACAATTTTGATATTTTATCAGTTTAAATTTCCAACAAAATTATTTTAACGATCCAATACAATTATTTTCAGACCTGTAACTAGAAAAATTTTACTGAAAAATTTAAAATTTTACTGAATACAGATCTGAAAATAATTTTATTGGAACATCAAAATGTTATGTTAAAAATTAAAAAATTATGAACAGTATCGCAAAAAATTTTGATATTCAGCAAGTTTGAATTTTCAACAAAATTATTTTAACAATCTAATAAAATTATTTTCAGATCTGTGTATTCAGTAAAATTTTTCAACAGATTCTTTCCGTGCGATAAACGTTCGCCAGTAAAAGAATAAAGTTCGAAGGGCGAAAAAGTACACGCATAAATACCCCGACCCATTGCTCTGACATGGGGAATGAGATTAACGTCGATTACAGTTTTCGGGAGAATGAAGGCAATGTACCAGCGCGCAAATATTCTGCTCGAAACAGACGCTTTCGCGACGGGCATTAAATTACGACGTTTTGTTTGACCATCTTCAACGGCGATTTCGCACCGTTGCAGCCCATAACGGTTTTCTTCGGGATCCTTGAGCCACGCGAAATTAATGACACTCTTCTCGACTCGTTACGTTACACGCAAGCGGCAAATTGCCACGAGTCCGGGAACGTAATCCGCGAAAACGCAATAATAAGCCGGCTGCCTCGGTGAAAAACGGGCGCCGCGCGCTCTCCTTCTCGCACCCTCCCCGTATCCCCGTTCCCGACGCTGACCGTATCCCCGTTGCACCCCTCGACCGGCGCACTGCTATTCTGACCGTAATCCGGGAGATGAAAACTTACGCTAATTAAATCGTTAATAGCGGCGAGCGCATGCACGTAACGGCCACGGCGGTTACTTAATCCCGAGAAAATGAAACATTCGCGGTGTCCACGCGCGTATCTACAGTCCGCTTTTCCCGCACACGTGCGCGCTGCTGAGATATGTACTGTCTCCAGTGCGCACGCACTGATTTCGCAAACGGCACATTTCTCTTCTTTTCCCCTCCCCTAAAGAGTTTCAGAGACGTGTATTTAATCTCTTTCGTTCGTCGCATCCGCCTCGACGCGGAGCCTCATTATATTCCGCGCGCATCCGTTTTGTCGGTGCGATTCACCGACGCTAATTCTTCCCCCGGCGCGCACCGTCGCCTGAACCTCCCCGTCATCCTTAATGCGATCGTCGATAGCGATAAAAATGCGAGAAGTCGTCGAGTCCGCTCTCTCGCAGACTACTGCCTGTAATTTGGTGGATCTCGTGCGTCTCGATCTGCCATGTCCTCGTGTCTCTCGTCCCTTTCCTCGCGCTTTCGCGAGGCGTGTCGGAAAAATAGCATCGAGGGCTGCGAATTTGAATAACGCAATTCACTGAATCGAGTTCCGAAAGGCGGCGCATTAGAATGCCACAGCTGGGCTAGCCGTCGACGGTCTCCCTCGATTTCGTTGATGTTGTTACTCGTCGTTGAATAGTTTTATTCGACACTCTCGTTGTCTGTCGGTATGGTACGCGTTTCTAATAATGACAGCCACCTAGGCCGGTATTCATAGTCGATTCTTATTTTAAGACCATATTAAGTAATATCTTTAGGGAAAAAAAATAGATTGCATGATTCAGCAAAACTACAACTTACTGTGCGAGTTCAACAATTATAACTAAGAAGATTTAATAGTTCAACAAAGAAATTGTGTCTATAAACAATTATCAGTATGCTAATTATTTGCTACAACGAAAATGTAACAAGTTTTCTTCATTACAGCAGCAAAATTACGCGCCATCTTAATTAACATGTCTTGTTAAAAATTTTTTTAAATTAATCTACACAGTTGGAAAAAATGTGTTGAATTTAACATAAATCGCATGTCCCAAACGGTCCACTCAAATTTTTGAGTTA